CACTCACACCCCCACCCTTGAGGAGGCCTGAGGAGAGGAAAACACGCAAAGAGACAAGGCCAGATAGATGGGAGAAGGGAAGAGGGAATCCTCGCATCGGTGATGGAAGTTCGGCGGGGGCGAATTCGCACTTGAGTCGGCGCCGCTTTTCAACATTCATTCATCGCCAATGGAACATTGTGAAAATATGTCGATTTAAGCCGACCAGTTGCTGCCCCTCACACCCCCCCGTCAAAACGTCTCTAGACTCTGCATCTTTGAGTGCATCTTGGACGGAGCCAGGCGTGCCAGGGTCATAGGGTGGGATTACAGGGGTTGATGATGAGCCCTGCCGGAGCCCTGGAGAGGTATCCAGTTCAGGTAGATTCTGGAAGTCGTCCGTCCTTTTGCACCAATCGAAACTCTGAAAAATGGCAATGATTCGAGTCAATCAGAAGCGGGAAAAGTAGACGGTGTGGGAGAGATTGGGAGGGGAAGACTCGGGAGAGGGCAGCAAAAGGACTCTGAGAAACCCAATGAGAGCGACGAGAAGTCCCGACCAATGATAAAAAGCCGGAATGAACTAAGTTGAAGTCGAAAAGGGGAAAAGGTACTTGCAGGGGAGGGGATGAGGTACAACAAAATAAAATAAATAAAAATAACAATTAAAATGGAATAAACCAAAAAAATATTATATCCTGGGGGGCTCCCATCTTGACAACGCATCACCACATAAAATGCCCGAATCTACTGCACTTCTGCCTGACCTGACGCCAGGGTTAAATCACAGAACGAATACCTTCCATTGCTCTCCAGTCGCATTCGCACATTGGAAAACGGCAACATGACCGTTTCAAGAGACTATAGTACCTACAGATACTTCTTTGCCTAAGAAACGATCAGCATTTGGGGGGCACTTCTTTATCCCGCAGTCCACACCCGTCCCCGGTTCTATCAAGAAGGTGGCTCCCGCAGTCCAACGAGGCGACGACACGAGCTGCGTGGGAGTGGACAATCCCACGCTGCTTTTGATTCAAAGTCGTCGAGAAGTTGCTTGGCCTGCATGCTCGGTACATGTATCGCATTGTCCATACGTTGTATTGTACCGCTGTGCCTGAGCATTGCATCGTGGTGTTGTTAAGACGTCTCAACATCAGGACGATATACCTCGGGTTGAGAGATACCTCGAGGAACGCCAGGTTCGTTCGCAATTGCGAACGAACAGCAAACGGAAGAGGAGAAGTGTCCCCTCTTCCTGCCCCTCGGCCGGTCTTTGCCCCGTTACATTCCCATTCCATTCTGGTCTCGTCTCCCAATCTTTTGCTGGCCTGCTCTCTACATCCCGCCCTGCCCTGCCCTATCCAAACTTCTTAGCTCTTGATATTCACCCTAACCTGTCCTATCCCCTTTCATCCCAACCCATCCTCACCCTCGTTAGCCCGGCACACTCGTTGGATCAGAGTTTCGATCAACGGCGGGCCCTGTCTCGTTTCCCCATAGACCCGGCTTTCCCTAATCGTCCTGACGTCTGCCCATCGTTCAACTTGCCCCAAGTTGCCTTCGTCTCCATCTCTGGCGTGTATCCGTTTTACCGCCCTCCTCTTCCTCCTTCTCTTTTCCCCCTCGACACCGCTTCCGTCACGAATCAGAACCATACTGTAGCCCCTCTCCGGACGGTTGAAAGGCCGGTCCGGCTTGCGTCTGACTGGGTCGATATAACACATACGACCCGCATGGCCCTCCGTCATACGTCCTTTTTTTTTACTTCCCATCTACGGCCACGGCGTGTGTCCTGTCCGCCAGAAGGAGACGTCGTCGTTGGATTCCCGGGGGGGGGGGGTGTGACTGTCCATAACCAACGTCCCGTTTGCCTTCCGGACTCTTCTACGTAGGTACACTTCTAGATTCTACACACACCTCTTACACCCACACCTTCTTTCCCACGCCTCGGCCCCTTTTGGAGCTAAAGCACCTTCTATCCTTCTTGATACCGCACGGGCGTGGACGGAAGGGAGGGGGGAGCCACCCCAAGCAACCACAAACCACACAACCCAAGGTTGATGAAGGAACCCTCCACGCCATGGACGTGGACTGAAGACGTCCGTCCCTGCCCACAGAGCCCCATGCCCCTGGCTTGCAGGTTGCAGCCATTCCATCCTTGCCTGTAGTCGGTAAAAATGAGTAAGGTAGTGCGGAAATACTTTCGAGGTTGTACCTCCCTTGTCATCAGGTGGGTGGTTCGGCAATGTCTGGAACTGCATGTCTCTTGGTTCGCCGTTTTACACGACATGCATCGTTTTTTCTCTCTGCTGCCTTTGCTTGAACCCACATACCTACATTCTTCTCCGTGTGTCTTGTCTTGTCTCGTCTTTTTTGCCCTCCCATCCTGCTCTTTTCCCAACCTGCGTCGGCCAAGTCCGTGCCCCCTTGAGTTTATCGGACTGTTCTCTCCTTTCGTTTCTCCGCAAGTATCGACCCTAGCTACCATAGTATTTGGCATCTTTCGTCTGGATATTCCACAGACTCTCAGAGATATTAGATCCTTTACCCGTTCCGGTCTGCCCACCCCCCATCCACCCCATCGTGGACTATCTCCACCAATCCCACTTGTGATAGTCGCCTCCCTCGGCATATGCAGACACCTCTTGCTCCCTTGCTCCCTCTCTCTCAGTCCTCTGCTTTGCCTCTGATACTTGCCGCGTTTTTCCCCATCATTTTTTACTTTCCTCTTGAGAAATAGGAAACGCGGCATGCAGACGTAGTAGCAATCTGCTTTTCCTGCTTCTCCTTGGTTGGCCAATGGCTCTGTCCATCACCCTCCCACCACCGTCCGGCTGCCACCCCTTCCAATGCCCACACCCTCAACGTCCAAACGCCTCATCGTCGTTGGATATCTCTCTCTTCTTTTTTCACTTTTGTCTCCTCTCTTTCTCCACGGCCCATATATCCACATTAACAAGCGTTGCGGGTGAAGACAGGGTTTAGTCTATGCCACTTCCCTGTCGCTAACGCACAGGCTAGACCAGGCCCAGGCAGGTCGACCGGCTGCCGCTCATCATGGTCCTTGTCAATGTCAATGTCCATGTCCATGTCCATGGTGGACGTTTGTTGTCTGCGACCCTTTTGGCCGCTCTCTCTCTTTCTCTGATCATCCCATCACATCATGCCCTTGGACCATTCCGTCTGTTCCCCCTTCCGCGGAAGGAGACCCGGTTAATGATGAAGCCACGGCTTGTCATCGGACGAATCGAGGCTTGATGTCTTATCCCCCTTCCAAACAGACGAAGAATATGGAGTCCGAGGAGGGTTTCGGAAAAGTATAAAAGGGCACAACTTGAGCGGCTTGAATTTATTCACTTCTTCTTTCTTTCTCACCATCAGATTCCTGGACTATCTTGAGGCTTCCATATAGCTTTCTCCAAGTTCTCTTCTTTGCCCAACAAGCAACTTCCTTGCACACTTGACTCTGTCTCACAGAGTGCCGCCATCCCCAGTCGACACTTGGACTTAGTCATCCCTTGTTTGCTTCACATCGTACACAAAGTACACGTCACGCCTCTATCGTCAACTGCCGGCCTCCACCTCCTCCTGCGCCCATCATGTCTTCCCACTACAACTCCCACTACACCCTCCCTTTGCCCGTCCCCTCCCACAAGGGCCAACACTACCCAAGCTACAGCAGCACCTACTCTGTATCGCCTCCAGAGACAGATGAGTCCGTCAGCTCAGGCACCGGTCCATCATACAGCAACAGCGGCTACTCTGGCGGCTACTCGGTGGCCAACTCCAGCTACGCCGGAAGCAACAGCGGCGACTACGAGAGCACCCACCACTCGGCCAGCGGTGTCGATTTCAACGACTACATGCAGGACCGCTTCGCCCAGACCTTTGATCCCATTCCTCTCGACCGCAACATTGCGGTCCAGGCGCAAACGTAAGTTGTTTCCTCCGTGTGGCGTGCGGCGTATTCCATATGCGGCGGCGAGACAGAACAAGGAGGCTAACGAAGAGGAATGCAAAAAACAGGTCCGGAAAGCTCAACGCAAAGCACCGTGAGCTGCTGGAGCTGCAAAAGAAGGCGCAAGCTCGTCTCGCAAAGACGCGCGAGCGCTTCAACGAGGGTTACCGCGACGCTCAGGACGTGCGCGCGGACCTCGAGTGGACGCAGAAGAAAGTCTCGTAAGTTGCACCCTTTTCTCTCTCCATTACCTCTTCCGGGACTCCGGAAAAAATTCAAAGGAGAGGCAAATTCTGCAGTACTGCAGTATGCGATCCCAGAAGTTTTCCCCGCGAACCAGTGGGGAAATATCTGAACCGGATTGCTGGTCCGATTGAACTGCGCGACTGCAACATTGGGCGTCGGAAAAGGAAATCTTTCGGGGGGGTAAAATCTGCGAGATCTGAGACATTGCGGCTAACACGCGGACCTCTTTTTGTGCAGATCGCTCAAGAGCAAGACTTCTCGCAAGCACACCAAGGAGTACAGCAAGGCCCGCGCTCGCTATCCGTCGCCCGAGTACTAGAGAATTTCCTCTGGTATTCCGGGTGGTTTGCTGCGGATTGAATTGCGAAAGCTTCTCAGCCGCGCGATACCGACGACGTTGAAAGCAAGCGGCGAGCTTCTCCTTCTTTTTCAGCCTTGTTTTTTTTCCAGCGTGCCATTTTCAACTGCGACCAAAAGAAAAAAGTTTCAGCCTGCCGTCGTCACCACCACCACCATTGCTACTACCACTACCACCACACCACACAAAAACGCACGACATACATACATCCCTGCCGACAAAACTGCAGGAACGAAGATACCAGATTCCCGGAGATTTACTTTGCATTTGATTTTCTTTGGATGAGCGCACGCCTCCCTCCATCTCCGCTTGTTTACTTACCACTATTTTTTTCTTGGGTACATATTGGGCTGGCAAGCATGGGAGGGTAAGAGAGGAGACAGGGGCCCTAGGCGAACCTGACAGCCGGGACGGCTTGACGCGCAGCGGCACGGCGCGGGGCGAGCGTGGGGGGCCCGCCTAGCCGCCCATCTCACGCTGCTTTTGCGACGGGCAGTGCGGCGGATATGCGAGCTGCGAGCTGAAGCAGGGTCGAGTGAGGAGTGGGTTGAATGGGGAAATATCATTCCCAGGCGTCCGGTAAACCTCCACACACACACGTACATGCCCTGGGCAGTTTTCCCCCAGAATTGGCAGACGTAGGGCTGCTATGGGGTTCCGACCGGCCTTCTTTTGACCTTTCGCCTTGAGAGAGAGGGGGGAATGTTTTTGTTGCACGAGATGATTATGAGACATGATTGGATGAATGGGAAAATGATTTGGGGCGGCTATGTTGTTAAAAGTACACCTCACCCCCTCCTTCCGAGGGCAACGGGGCCAGGGCCAAGTAGCCCGGGGGCTGCAGTAGTTGTTGGAAGGGTCTCTAGGCCGGTAGAATGGCTTGGTGGAGACCGGGAGGGAGGGGACGGGAGACAAGGAGACCAGGCCCAAGATGAGGGTACGGTACAAAATTGTTGGCAATCTGTTTGGAGGCGCTTGTCCTCTTCGGGGCGGTGGGATATTGCTCTTTCGGGAAGGATAGCGACGGGGAGCTGGACGTGGGTCATGTTCCTCTGACCCTCTCGGTGGTTCTGTAGCGACGACAGGGTATTTCTCCGTCTCGGGATTCATAGTCATATCATACTCTCTTCTTGTTCGGTCGTGGTGGCCCTTTGCCGGGCTGCTGGTCCACGATATATCCACCGTAACAGTACCGTCGTGATCCGGAGTCCTCCGTAATGCCACCGTAAAGAACCCCCCAGGCCTTGGCCAAGTCTGGGGGGGTCCCATATATCCAGTGATATATCAGGTGATGGATGAGCCATGATATTTTCCCCTGGCCTATGTCCCACACGGATAGGGACATCACGTGACGTGGTCGGTGAGGTAGTCGGTGAGTCGTTTGTCGATATGCCAAGTCGCATGGTTGAGAAGGCATCCAGGTGAAGGTGAGGTAAGCATATCGATATATGTTGACCACACGCTCGGTACCATGGTCCACACACCACTCAGGTGCCAACCCATGCCACATTGAACATTGATAGTCCATCGACGTTCAATCAAGCCTTCTGAGCTTGGGTACCCCTCGCCACCCAAGTCCCCTTGGACAGAACCCCAGCCTTCTTCTCGAGCTTCTCCCATGGGTTCTCATTCGACGCGGGGTCGTAGTAGCCCTCCCACCAAGGCTTGCCATCATTCCTCTGTTGCTGCTGGTAACCCCCGCGACCACCACGCTGGTGCTGGTGCTGATACTGCTCGGGGCGTTCCCTCGTCGGCATCGTCGTCGGAGCGGTTCCCATTTCCTTACCCCACGACGCGTCGGGCCGTTGAGGTAGGGCCGATGATGTTGGGAGAGAGTAGGTTGTGCTCTGTGCCTGCGGTGCCGAGGCTCCGCCATCTACTGCCGCACCTCGGTTGGCGAGTTCGTCTATCAGACCTTGCGCGTGGGCAAGGGCCGGGGCGACGGTTGGGTCTGAGTAGAGATTGGCGCCGCCTTCCTCTGCGTCCACGTCTTCTCCGGCGGCAGCACCAGCGCCGGCGGCGTTGCTATCGTCTTCGTCATCATCGTCGAGGTCTATCTCATCGGCGTTGGCGGCGGGCGCGGCAGCAATCTCGGTCGTTGTCGTTGACGGAGCGGGGCGTGGAGCGCGAGGGGCGAGTGCGGTCTGGTTCGCGCCGGTCGCGGAGGAGACGGCGTCGGTGCGGTGGTTGTATTTGCGCTTCTTGGCGGCGGGTTGGGTCCCGAAGGAGGCGAAGCCCATGAAGGCTGCCATTTCGGGGTCGATTGCGAGGGAGTCGTCTTCGTCCATTGTGGGCGGTGAGGAAGTTAGTCACACGGGGTCGGTTGATTGGGGCGTCGTTGCGAAAGGCTGCTCGCTGCGGGAGAAGTATGGGCGATGACGTTGGAAAAGAGATGTTGGTATGGATAAAGTAGGCCAACTTCCTGCAGGAAAGAAACAGCTCTGGGCGATGTGGTGAGGGGAAAAGGCAGTCAGCCAAAGAGGAACAGAAAAGGAGCTTTGGGCGCGGGAAGAGCCGTGGACTTTTCTCAGAGAAAGGGGAGGGGAGAAAGAAGGAGAAAAAAATGTCGAATTAAGACCCTTGTCCGGCACTGGCCCGCTTAATTACAGCCTCGTGGGACCGGGGCATAAGGTACCTTAGCTAGGTACCTAGGGAAATAACTTGGGGGCTTCCAAATTTCCAGGGTCTTTTGAATGGCATGTCGTCGATAAAAGAATGACGGACGACATGTTCGGGTATTTGCGGCTGTAGATATGGGCGAATGAGAGAGCAATTATTCATTTGCGAATCAAAAGCATTGTGAGAGGAGTGCACAGTTAATACCAATACCTACTCCCTCTTTAAGGCACAGAATTGGAGAGGAACGGGGAATGCTCGAGTCTCAATCGTCGGGCCGCTGAGACGCTGACATCATTTGAAACGCGACGTACTCCGTACCCCTGGCGCGGATCCCGGAGCTTGGGGTCATGGTTTGCGCTTGTCTTTCAACTTCATTCCAATATCTTGACAACGACAACCTCTTCCGTAGAGACACCGAATATAGCGGCACCACTTCGATTCGCAGTCGCGCGTGAACACCCGAGCTCTAAACCGCGACATCTTGCGGGAAACCACCTCCTGACAGTGTTGTCAACAGCGACAATCCCACGAAGCTCCACACAAGCTCCGAAGCACAACTTCAACCTCCACGACATCCACCTCAACATCTTTGCAATAGATAGAGAGCATCATGGCGTCCCCACCAACAACAGTCACCCTCCGCTCCCCCTCAAAATACACAACCGCCTCCTCCCCATCACCATCAACCTTCTCAGCCCCGCCCCTCGAATGGCTCCTCCGCACCTGGTCCGTAACCCACTCCACCCTCGCAATGTGGCGCGACGCCCGCAACGTCCGCATCTCCTACGCCTCCATGGCCCCGAAACCTGACGGCACAGCCCGCATAGACGACCTCGTCGAGTACGAGTCCAACAAGACGCCTCACCCCTCCACGGCCGTCAAATCCGTAAAGGGCGTCGATACCGCCTGCGCCGTCGGGGATACTTCCGTCTGGGACTGGAGGGGGAAAGGGTGGCTGTTCTTCGTGGGCAGTCATTGGGAGGTTCTCGGATGGGGGGAGAGGAAGATCGAAGGCAGTGGGGAGGTGGAGAGGTGGGCTGTTACGTGGTTTGCGCCGACGGTGTTTACCAAGGAGGGTGTTGATATCTACTGCGATCGCAAGGAAGGGTTGAGTGCCGCTGGGTATGAGGAGGTTATGGGCGCACTGAAGGGCTTGGAGGCCAAGGAGTTGGTTGGCATGGTGGAGAAGGATATGTTGCCTGTTGAGATTGCGTTGCCCTGGAAGGAGGCGTGAGTGTTGTGTGCTTGGATATTACGTTGCCCGGTTCAGGCGTGTCTTTGATTCGAGTTTGTATAGTAGTGATATAATATCTAGGCTGAGCATCTATTCTTTCATATAGAACCCATCACAATAACAAACAAGTAAGCTCGCAGCTGTATAGTAGTGTACTATAAATTTCTTGGTTCAGACTCTTCAAGCACTTATCAATCTTTGTGTAAAAGTCTCAAGAAGTGAGTCTGACAAAGTTCTGATAGGTAATGAAAGCATCCATTCTCTCCCAAAGCCATCGCTCCAAATAGATTGTCACCCCAGCCACCATCAGTGACCAGAAGTCAAGACATGTCAACGTAGTTCGACAACTTATTACAAGACTATTTAAGCAGCCGACAGTATTCTGTTTTGGTAACAGGCCATGATATCACTCTGCCTTATCACAGAGAAACTCTTCAGGGTGTTCCTACTCAAGTTGATTTGTCTCCCAGAAGCACTACTTTGGACCATTCATAATAGACTGCTTCCTAGACCCCGTTAGCGCTAAAATAAAATAAAAAAAGCATATGAAAAAATGTCGACGACTTATTCTGAGACTGCTTCAGCGTGCGTCTAGCATCTTGTAGAGGATGCTGCGTGGGGAGGTATAGAGGTATTCTTTGTTGGCGTGATGCGTTCTGCTGTCATTCATAGCAGGCTGCTAACCTACCCATATTCGTTCTTCATCTCTCGTCACGCAGCTCCTGGTTCACGTTCGCCCACGAATACCCCGTCATCTCTCAGTTTTCGCCCCATGCACATCACTCACCCCTTCCCATGCTCATTCTCATCCCATCCCACTCTATTCGATCAATGCTCCAACTCATCCTCCTGCCCAGCTCTCCCTACCTCATTCCCAATCACTCCCATTTCCGTCATCGAATAAACCAACTGGCCCAACGACTCGACATTCGAGGTTCAGCCCCTTTCGTCCACCAAGCCTCCAAAATGCTTTTTCCATGCCACCGCTTCAGCTGATCCCGCCTACACGTTTAAAATCGACCGTGGTCCGAGAATCAGCCACAGACTGATTGGTGGTTATTCATCTTTTTCCGCTACTCTCTCTTGATACCGACCTTCCTTGTCAGTATATAAGTCGACTGACTCTTGGATTCGCTGATGCACATCATTGGCTAGGCAACCAGGAGTTGAACGCATTCGTTCTCGCTACATCCTCAAGGCAGCTTCAGACCGTCAATTTACAGTTTCTTGCGAGCTCAATTCTGTAAATTCGATGGCACATGGCAATATGGACTCATTGAAAATTGCGCTGACTCCAAATGTGCGATATAAAGCTGATGTTATGGAAGTCCGTGCATGCAACAGGATAAACAAAGACACAATTTCGAAATGTGCAGCAAAGTAAATCAAGGTAGAGATTCGTATTCAATTTCAGTACCATTATGATTATGTCCTCCGAGTCAAATTTCAAGCGAATGAAATGGGTATACTGCAAAGCCCGTCCAACATGATCATGCCGATTTGAGCTATCATCTCCCGGCAGGCCTCTGTCCATCCTTACCCCACATCTCTCCCGCGTGCTACAAGTACATGTTTTTTTCTGGTTTTTTCTATTTCGTTGTATGGAATCATTCGTCGCAAAGGGGTATTTGAAAAATCAATCGTGTCGGAGTATCGTGAAGCGCATGGGGATTTGACGTCGCAGCAAGAAAATCAAAGCGTAATTGGTGACAGCCGTAAAGGGGTCGGCTTTAGTGTGACCAAGCTATTCCCCCACACGAGACCTCAAGTCAGCACTCGGTGCGAACTCAAATGTTTTCGATGACACGAGAGTTAATGGCTTGCTGAAAGCCGGAATCCTGACCTCCAAAGTCGTTGAAGTCGCCAGTGCCGTGGTTGGCACCGCTCGACTCGCCCGCTTGGTTGTTGCCGCTGAGCGACTGCTGAATGTTGGGCATGGTCTGGCCAGGACCAGGCAGGAAGATGACCTTGCTGTTGGAAGACTTGGCCATCGCCTGCATGGCTTCGAGGTAGCGGATCTGCATGGCAGGGGCAGACGACAGAATGTCGGCAGCCTGGCGCATGAGCTTGGCAGATTCGACCTAAATTGTGTTAGTGATGAAATGTAATCATGTGAGATTTAGGATGCGTACCTCAGCCTTGGCTGCGATGATCTTGCTCTCACCAATACGCTTGCTCTGGGCGGCCATGGACAGCGACTCCTGCAACTCTTGGCTGAAGATGATGTCCTTGATGAGCATGCTCTCGACCTGAACACCCCATCCGGCAGCGACATCCTCGATGATCTCGCCAATGGACTGGGCAATCTCCTCACGACGCTCAATAACATCCTGGAGAATGCGGGCACCGACGACGTGGCGGAGAGTGGTCTGGGTTCGCTCCATCAGAGCCTGGCGCACGTTGGAAATACCGAAGGCGGCTCTGTGAGGTGCGACAATGTGGTAGTAGATGACAGAGGTGAGGTGCAGGGTGACGTTGTCCTTGGTCATGCAAGTCTGCTGGGGAACCTCTGCCATTTGAATCTTTACGTCGACCTGAATGAGCTTCTCGCTGAGAGGGTTGACCTTGACAAGACCAGGGTCGACGGCCTTGTAAAATTTGCCAAACTTGGTGACGAGACCGACATTACCCTGATTCACGTTCTTGTAAGGGTTCGGGCAGACGATGCAGCAGGGAATGGCACCAAGAGTACCAATGCAGGCACCGAAGGTGTTGACTGGTGGTGATGTTGTGTCAGTGGTTTGCGATAGGCTTGGAGGAGAGGCGGATGCAAGGATCAGACTTACTCATGGTTCCGTACCAACCCTTGGGGTTGGCATCTTCGGCGACAACTCTGGCGTAGCTGCGCTGGAGATCCTCCTTGGTGGGAGGCTGGACCGTCATCTCATTGTGAGGCTTGAAGCCGCCCTGTCCAAGACCGAGGCCGCCACCGTTGGCCGTGGTTTCGCTGCGCTCCTCATAATCGGGTGCGCGGGCCTTGCCCGTGGAAGTGCTCTCGTGTTGCGGGGCGCTCATCGTAGGCGAATGCGATCGAGACGAGTTGGCTTGGAGAAGGTGTCGTGCAGATGTGTTGGAAGAAGAAGCTTGTCGAGTGCGGGTATCTAGATGATCAGAAGCTTCGGAGGTAGATTCTGAGTGATGAACCATGTGTGCTAGCCAAGGTACGATTTGTGATGGTTGGGGGTACGAGGTTCTTAAGTAGACGACGTCTGGGGTAGGTAGGTACAAAATGGAGATGTGTCGAGGGGAGAATGAAGACCGGGGACTGCACTAAGAGTTCTAAGACCAAGGGATCATAGACACCCGACGGGTCTAAGAGCAAGGGTCGAATCATTCCGTGGGACATGGAGGACACAGGGTGGGCTGTGTTTGTGCCCAGGAGCTCTTTCCTTGGGGTCATCTTCTTGGGGCCTTCTTTCTGAGGTGGTGGTGGCACTGAGCTATCGGCAAGCGCGATGATAGGCGGGAGAGGAGAGGAGGCAGTCGCAAACCGCGAAAAGGAAGCTACAGGAGCCGAATGGTGGAGCAGGGGTCTCGCAGCACCTCCCTCAAGACTCACTAAGGTGACAATGATATTGCAAAGTGCAAGTACGAAGCTGGAGGTACCTGCCCCATGTTCGAGTTGGTTGCCCCGTCTGCGTCCGTGGGCTGTTGAACGGGGCAGGGATGTGAGCACCAGGGAAGGAACGCTGGAGCCATGCGGGGCAAACGTGCCCGATGGTGGAGAGCACCTGCACTGCCCGCGAAACTCCAACATGCGGTGGCCCATGCTCAATTTGAGCTTCCTTCCCTTCACGGTCACGACGTTCTTTCTGCCTGCACCAAGGTAATCATCTTGCTGACTGTTTCTTCTCGGCACACATTCCGCATCATCACTTGCCTACCTTACCTACCTAGGTACCTACACCAGGACAGCCAATATGTTGAAAAGATCTCGTGGTCATGGACGGCCTCAAAAAAAAAAAAAAAAAAAAGCCGCAATGCTAGCACAATCGACACCGTTGCGACGGCTTGACTTTCCATATCGCGCCCAATCGCGAAGCTGCCGGTCTGCCGTCTTACCTTCAAGGTCCCTACACCCCAATCAGAGTGACATGGTTGTTTCTTCTCTTTTGCCCGGATAGACAGCGCGACTTTCGCCTTCAACTGCGCGCATCGACCAAGTGTGATCGCCCGACTGCTTCCAAACTTTACCACGAGGGCAATGTCGCTGCTCCGCCCTCTCCATTCTTCGCTGCCTAGGCAACAAAAAAAAACCTCACGATCCGATCCCAACGGTCCGTCCTTGGTGGCAGAGCGGTGGCGGACCCAATCCGTCCTTCAATCAGCCTTGGCTACAGCCAAGACACGCCGCGCACGGGGTTGATTGCTGACTGCTCAGGGCGGGCCGGCGGTTGTGTTTTGGCACCTTTGCACTTCTCTAACCTCTCCGAGAAAAAGTGCACACCATCCCATCCAAACACGCCGTCTGATCTCGACAAGCTCCAGGCGGCTGTCTGTCTGCCAGGGGCAATTGAATCACTGAGCCTGCAACTATCGACCAAAATGTCACACGCCAACGGAGAACGTTTCACACATCATTCATCTCTGTGTCATGATATTCGGGGCCCTGTCACCCCAACATGCACAACAGCCAATCAACGTCCTCTCGCGTGCCGACTTCCGCCAAGGGAGGGCATGGCAGAGTGGCATGATATCATGGAACCCCAGCGCCGAGATTTGGAGAATCCTACACTACGAATACTATACCCTCAAGTCAGACATCGTGATTGTTCGCCGACTGCTTTCGGTTAATAATTGCATGGCATAGCGAGTGGCTTACTTTACCTACCTAAGGCAAGGTATTTATCCGTTACCTAACGGCTCCTGCGGCCGGTAATCACCCACCAACTGATCCTTCATCGCAGAGCCTCTCTCAAAGTCCGAGGAATTTGGAGACCAGGGAATGACTTCATTGACTCCGCTCTTGAGAATGCGCCTCCAACCGCTCGTGCATATTCTTACATTGTCCTCCGTAAGGTAAAGTGGTGTCGTCTCCACTCAATCTACCGTCGCCGCCCAGCTTCTGGGCAGAACGCCATTCACAACTCTCAGCCTCCGGATCGGCCAATCCACGCCGGCCGCATGTCTCCACCCTTTCCGAAAGTGGCCCTAGCGTCTCTCCGGCACGCGTGACCCGGCACTGCCCCGCCAATATTTGTCGCCCGGCGAACTTGGAGCAAGAGCTTTCAATTTCTGCCTTTCTGCGCATCAATATCTCTTGGGTATTGGAGCAACTTGACATCATCCTCCGGATTGGCCAGAATATCGGCCGATCCTCCGCCTTCATCCCGACAAACCAACACCAATTTCCGGTGGCGACCCGCGGGCGGCTGCAATCTTTAGCCGACTCTCACCGAATCCAGCACCCGGCGAGAACCGTCTCCACGTTGAACCCATAACCTTCGTCACATGCTTCCGCAGGGCGAACGCAGACTCCACAAGGCTCAAATGGTTGACTGATTTCGTTCTACATCATCCTTGTCGTCTTACTGCGTGGTCTCGTTTGCTGTGTAAATGTGGGAATAGCTGAGCTTTTTTGAATATTCCCTGATAAGCTCCGCCACCAACGAATGCCCCGCCATCGAATCCTTCCAGAAGCCTTCCTTTTCCGCCACCCCTGCACCGCCGTGCATCCCTCGTCCGTGATATTGCAATTCCATCGTCATTCCCATCTTGTACGAGGTTGACTACCTAGTACATAGGAACTAAGCTGCAAATACGCGGTGCCTAATCATCCGTGCCACTATGGTTTTGTAGATCACTGCCACGGTCCCGTATAAGTCAATGTGGCAATGGCTGTGTTGGGGTCACGATACCTACCCCAGATGTGGAGGAGCCGCATTCCCTAGACAAGGTAAAATAACCCGTATGAAATAAGCTATCGAATTCTTCTAGAAGAGCCAGCATGTAGGGTATCCATCACGGGATGATGACGGTCTGCTTCCTGGTTCCCTTTTGAGCCACCCTAATCCCATGTCTACCGCAACGCCTCACAAGACACATCCAAATAAGCAAAAAGGAAACAGCCATTCTGCTGACAGCTATTACCATTCCAATAAGGCAAACTCATTCATCACTGCCCTCTAGTCCCCTTCATCCCCTCAAAATCCTCCACAATGGCAGCATGATCCATCTTCCACCCAGGGCTCATGGACACCATCCAATCTCCCTCCAACAACTTCTCATCCTCAATACTCCTCCTCGTATCCGCATACGACGCAGCCCAGATGCTCCTATAAATCCCCTGCGCCGGGTAACTAACCAATCCAAACGTCGCAGCAGTACTCTTCGTTACAAGACTAGCCACCCCCTTCCCAAGCCCCTTGGCCGCCCCCAGCGCGCCCTGCTCCTTTTTGCCCGTGTACGTGTGCACAAAGATGTCTGTCAGCCCGCCCTTCATGTCCTGGCAGAACGTCTTGCCCGCCACCGAGACGCCGCTGCGGAAACCCTCGACGGCGTCGTGCTTGCGGACGGGCTCGCCGTACAGGTTCGGCACCGCGCGGAGACCCTCCGTCACGGCGAGGGGTATATCGACGAGGAGACCTTTCGTCGCGTTGCTCGCGAGTTTGCCTACGCCGTTGGCTGCTGCGGCTGCCATGGCGCCTGGTTTTGCGCCGTTGGAGGATGATTCCTGGCTACCCCTGGATGGCGGCGGCCGGGCCGAGGAAGTTTTCTCTCCGGTTGCCGCCGCCCCGTCTGGGACCCCGACGCCGGGGAGGGGCAACATGGCGAACGCGGGCGCTTGGCTGTGTCTTTGCGTGTTCTCGACTTGCTGCTGCTCTTCGAGGTTCTCGCCAGACTCGCTGGTGCGTTTGTATTGTTCAAAGGGCTTGACAATAATGTCGGCTGTGGCGCCTGCCATTTTGACGATTGTCGAGATGGAGGCTGCCGATACTGCCGTCAGGGGGTCCCATCTCTGGTTCTCAATGTTTGTCGGTTTCGATCGGTATCTGCAAAAGAACAGTTTCAGTAACAAGCGTCATGGAGAGGGTCCTTGAATCGAGTGTATGAGTTAACCACGTACGACTTGAGCTGCTTCCGCTGCAATTTTCCATTCTTGACCAAGATGGACGCGACGGGTCTACACATCTTGACCTGTTTCTTACCCCTCCCGTAGACCAGCGCCGCGGGCTGGTCGGAGAAGAAGTCGCAGCCCATTTTCGACTGTGGCAAGTTGGCATGGAAGGCGTCGACGGCGGCCTGGACGCCGTCCTCCCTCTGCATTGCGTCGGCGAGCTTTCTGGCCGAGCGGATGGCGTCCGGGGAGAGGCAGAGCTGGATGGCCTGGATTAACTTTTGCGATGTGAGGGAGCGGTAGGGGATGGGGTCTGGTCCTGCGCCAGCTTCTGCCACGACGGCGCCCCAGAAGGGTTGGCTATGGGGGAAGTGTCAGTGAAACTGTGGCCCATGTGATCCTATTTTCTACTCACTCTCCGAAGAAGGGAACAATGGTTGTAGGCTTTCCGTATCTCAATCCGCAGGCTGTAGTACCGGCGCCGCCGTGGTGGATGACAGCGGCGACTTGCTGGAATAGCCACTCGTGCGGGCAATCGCCCACGTAAAATACGTTGTCCGACTCCTCGCCGGTCAAGTTGCTCCAGCCTCTCGAGATAATGGCTCTGACTCCTGTCGCCTTGATTGCGCTGAGGACCATGGTCATGAGGCCCTCGATTCCTCCAACCACAATACTTCCGAATCCGACGTATATGGGTGGTGGGCCGGCCTTGAGAAAGGCTTCGAGGTCGGGAGGTGGTGTATACGGCGCAGGGTCGCGGAAGAAGAAGCCACTGATGTCTTGTTGCTGATCGTTAGCTTGACTCTCCATGGTAGAGTTCTTGATGGGAAACATACCAATGTGCGGACCCCAATCACTGGGCTTGGGCACGAGAGACGGCGACCAACAATATGTGAATGGGACTTGCAGACTTTCCAATATACGATGTCCCTCAGTCGACGGAACAGGTTCCAAGCCAAGTGACTGGACTCTCCACGCGTTGACAAGATCTCCCAAGCTATTTTGCCGTTAGCAACATAGCCACTCGCCTGGGAAGAAATACAATCTCACCCCTGCCATGTCAAAAACTCAACAGCAGAATACGAAGCATGATTCGTACTCTTCTTATCCGCCTTTGAAAACCCAATATTCGCCAACGGATGCGGAAACGCCTTGGTACTGCTCCACGGCATCGTAAACATCAAATGCACCGGAATTCCCAGCGCCTGGGCGCAGTGCACGTGGGCGAAGCTCGGCGGGTTGGCAATAATGGCATCGGCAACAAATGGCACGTTGGAAAGGGGGTCAGGGTGGACGCAGGACCGCCAAAAGCCGTCGAGCATCTCGACGTACATGTCGCGCTTCCGCTGGATGATGCCCGCGCGGATCTGCGACATTTTGGGGATCAGGGAGGGTGACTCGACCATGTAGGCCATGAGATCGGCCGGGTCGCCGCCGACGGGGAAGAACTCGATCCTGTTTGGTGAGGCGGAGGCTGGGACGGAGTTGTTGGATTCGAGTACAAAGGAGGAGAACTGCGGGTGCGTTGCGATGCGGACGCGGTGGCCTGCTTTCCGGAGGGCGGAGGCGAGGGCGAGGAAGGGCTGCACGTCGCCTCTGGAGCCGACGACTTGGACCACGATATTGAGTGGTATTGGCCATTGACGTTGAGGTGTGTACCGGGGTGTATACTCAGGCGGTGTCTGGTCTTCGGCCTGCGTTGAGCCGGATGGTTCGCCTTCTATTCACCGCGTTGAGTGTTTGTTTTAGGGTTATTACAGGGTCTTGGGGCTGCTTTACCTTCGAGGTAGAGGTCCTCGAGCCCCAAGGCCGAAGCTTTAGACTCCCTAGAGGATCCAAATGTCTCTCTCTTTTCGCCTTCCATGTTTGCGTACTTCACGTGCAGAATAGCTGTGTGATGTTGGAGGTGGATAGTAAAAGAGGACGTGGGGAATAAAGTAGGAGACAGGGAGGGGCAGGATCAAGTACATATAAAGAGACTTAAGCATACGTTAATCTACCTAGTACCTTGCCGCATAGCCTCCTGGGTAGGGCCGCGTCAGGAAGTCGGCTACTCTCAGGTTAGCCAGTGGATCTACTTTTTACCGTCAGCTACTAGCTAGGCATCTAATGTCATGGATACGAAATGAGCGGCCCGAAACTCAACTGGTCTCGCTGCTTCGGGGTGACCGTAGAGCGTAGGTAGGTGTTCCCTGCTGCTTGGAAAAGTCTGATGGTAATCTCTGTCAATTTTCTTGTAGTCGCTCAAGCGATCTTGTTATTATTCCACGAGACTTTTTCTCGAGAGAGGCCGGATATTGCCAGAATCAAGATTATTTGCTCAGTCTCACAAGCACTGTTGTTTTCAAACTCGATAAATCTATGTATCTCTTCCAATAAAAACTCGTTATCCGCTCATTAACCCCAACGCCATACGAATGTGCAAAGTAGATGAGTCTATTACCCGCGGTCCATCTAGACACTCTCTTCTCGACTATTTGGAAGACCATCCAATTCAAGCTTATCCTCTTCCGATTCCTGCTTCTTCACCGTCCTCTTCATCTTCCTCGACGCGCAACAAAAAGCGCACCCGTGAACAGAGCTCAGAAGCCACAGCAGCATGCTAATCCCCGCAATCCAAGCACCCGCAGCAAGTCTCGACTTGACATCGCCCGTAACGTTGATACTCTTCTCGCCGCCCACGACCATGGAAGAAGACAGACCGCACAGCGCGGCCCAGAGGACGGCCAGCCCGAAGTCCCATACAGACCAGGCGGCGTGTGTAACTGTCGCGAAGACGTGGTAGGCGCATGTCAGCGCTGAGAGGATGGCCGGGACGAGGGCGTAGATCCAGGGCGTTCTCTCGAGGTTCTCTGTCGGCAGGGTGCTCCAGGAGCCGAGCGTGGCGGCATAGAGGCCAATCGTGACGATGGCGAAGACGAATTGGAGGATTCGGATGCAGGCGCGGACCCAGAGGCCGAAGGCGCCTGAGAGCTGCCAGTAGTCTGTGTTCATGGCTCAGCTCGTGGTATGGGGTTTGTGTTTACAAGCTGTAAGGCACTTGTAGAGGAGAGAAAGTCTTAGGACGTTGATGTGTTGGTAGGAGGCGAGATAGGAAGATGTCTGAACTCAGAGGAGAAAAGAATTGGAGATTGATGGATTGTAGGGATTTGAGAATGGAGGGCGAGGAAGAGGAAGAGGGACGAATTTCGGTA